TTTTTATTTTTTTCATTTTCTTTACGTTGTAGTTGATTAACTTGTTTAATTTGTTTTCTTCTTTCTTCATTTTTAGATATTGCTAAATGATATTCTTGTTTATGATATTTAGCATAATAGTTTTTAAGATTTGTTAAATTAGTATTGGTAGGATAATTTGCTTCACAAATATCACAAATAAGTCTTGTGTTAAGAGAGTTGGCATGCAAATAATTACGAATTTCATGAGTGTTTCTCATTTTTAAAATTATAGTAATTAAAAATAAAATAATAAAATTATTAAAAAAAAATTATTTCTATTTATATTGAATTATTTATTTATATTAAATATTAAAATAAGAATTCTTGATTACATGATTGGGAATTCTGTTTATCTAATCTCTAGCTATGCCAAATTTGTAAAATTATGAATTAGGAAAATTATTAATTGCTATGATTTAACCAAATTCGTAAAATTACAAATAAGGAAATTGATAAATTACTTTTAACCAAATTCGTAAAATTACAAATAAGGAAATTGATAAATTACTTTTAACCAAAGTCGTAAAATTACAAATTAGGCAACAATATTCTTAATTCTAATAAAGAAATTTCTAAATTCATAAATCTCAAATTCAAATATTCATTTAAAATTTATTGAAGAAACTAAGTTTTTAGTTTAGAAAGATAATAATAATATAAGAGTTATAGAAATATAAAAAAAATTTATATATATAATTTATTTTTATTTATTAGTTAAAATATTTTTTATACATTTAGTAATATATCAATAAATAAAATAAAAAAAATAAAAAAGCATAAGCCGCCATTTTATATAATTAGCTTCATAAATATAATATTTTATTAAATAAATTTAATTATAATATTAATAACTAAATTCATTTTTATTCCAATACCATTCATCATCGGAATCATATTCTCAACTTCTATTATCAGATTCATAATATAATTCATTTTCAGATTTTTTACCAAATGTTTCATGATAAACATAATTATATTTCAAAAGATCTTCTGGTTCTTTATTTATATTTGCTTCTTTATTATCATTTTTATCTAATTTCTTTATATCAATTTCTTTATTTTCTTTGTCTTTTTGTATGGTATTCTCTACCAATTCTTCTTTTAATTCAACAAAATTATAAGTTTCACCAGTAAAATCATTTACAGCCGTATAAACTTGGTTGAATAGTTTTTCTTGCTCATATTGATTCTAAGCAAATTCAAATCCTCTACCAAAAAAGATAGAGTAGTAGGCCGTATGTTCAACCAATTCATCAATAATCTTATTTTTCTCTTTAATTTTTTCTTTTATTTTATCGATAACTTTGACAGCTTCTTTCTCGATTTGTTGATAAGTATCTTCAAATTCAAGTTTGAGTTTTTTAATTTTTTGTTCATAAACATCTTGTTCAATAAATCATTTCATTTTTTTAGAATATGGGTAAAAATTTAAACTGGTTTCGTGTATAAAAGAAAATTGTTGTTTAGATATTTAAAAACAAATGTCAAAATTTAGTTTATTTAAATCTTTTACATTTTATTTAATTATACTAAATAAAGTAATACAATTTGATTGG